TGTAATAGGAAATGACACTCGTGTTATCCATGTTTGTTCTAGAATTTACCTGAGATCATTTTAATAACCTGTGAAAATGACTCTCATCTGTGTCGAGAGTATTTCCTGAAGAACCTCGGTAAGAGGGCATATCTTTCAGGCCCAGTTCCCATCTCAACATTTACATTTCTCACTGTATAATATAAAGCCACTGTAGTTGGAAAATGTAGCATGTTCACACATTTCAACCAACCATCAGTCAAGCACAATCTAATGATTTTTTGATGTTTTTATTTCAGATGTTTACACTGCTGAGCTCATATTGACGGGGGTGTTGACTCAGACCTTGGATTATGAATCATATCCTTTTAAAATGCATGCAAGATTTAACAGACACATAAAAAGCGATCACTTTTGAATAATTTCTGAATAAACTTCTGAGTGATGTCAGACTTGAAATGAAGCAAGAACTGTTTTGTGTAATTAAGCTTTGTTAAACTCATTACTGACGTTCATATGACATGTTACACATTTTCAGCTTTTTTGTAATACATTTTATTGGATTTATGTATGTATGTTTTGTTATGCTCCTTAACAATCTCACATATAAATTCACATGATGTCCTTGTAAGGACATGAATAATATATGACTGCTGGTGCCCTGTTCTGGATCAACGCTAAAGGTTACTTATTTTAAATTTTAGTGTACAGTCATGTTATATTTCAATGTTTGTATTTTATTACTTGATTTAATAATTTGTTACCAGTTTTGTAAACAAAGTAACAGTGATTCTAAATAAATTACTGTTATTTGTAATGATTGTTTTAAATGAAGGCAAAGCTATGTTTTTACTGTGATAAATGTTTTCCCCTTTTATGGTTTTGGAATAAAATCTGAATTTGATTGTGATTTTAAATAATGAATCTGTCAGTATATCTGTCTGATTTGATTCTTACATTTACACACATTTCTGGAGTCTGCTTGAACATTGAATAGTATTTATAAATGTCAGGTCACGAAGAAATAATGCTTTCCTAAATGACCTTTTATTCTGTCTAAACCAAAAAATATTTACACAATGACTCTCAATCATGTCGTCTCACCGATGCTTTTGGGAGTACACAGGGTACTCTGTTCTCATTGAAGCATTCTTCTTTTAAAAGCATTATTCCTGATAGACAAAATTCAATTAAATGCTAATGAAGTGTTCGAGTACTTACCGGTGGAAGGCAATTGTGTGCTGTCAGACAGTTCGCCTGGGGTGATCCCATGGCTCCTGAGTTGGGTTGTGGAGTGGAGCTGGCAGTAATGCCCTCTAAAATGGGATAAATTAAAACTTACCCAGCCAAGGTCATGTGCCAGAAATGCAACAGGGGAAACAATAGGTGGTTTGCTCAGAGCTTGAGATCACCCACTCAAGTGTGGAAATGTAGATCGATGCACCCTAAAAGTGTTTTTACAGTGCTTTTGTTTTGGTGTCTAACATACTGCATCAGGGAATGCTTACAACTGTATATTCCTTTGCAAACTAATACATAGCTTCATATATGAGTCCACTGAGGTGGTTCTTTTTGTTGCTACAAAAACCTTGAAACTATTGTTGTGGAATCTTTGTATCCATCTTTTTTTCTCAACACATTCATCGTTCATGGTTAAATGGTGACAAAATGTGTTACAATCATTGGTTTGCTGGTTGTTACAGTAAATAAGCTCTAGCAGAAGATTGAGAAGCACAAACGTGAGTTTCCTTTGTTTAAGTGGCACAATAAATAGGATTACAAAGACATTTTAAGCAAACAGCAGTAGCTTGAATAGCTATTGCAGCCTTCTTAATTTCCTATCCAATTGATAGTCTCGTTAATTGCGATGAATTAAAAATGCAAATTAGTGACCAGATCTTTGATTAACTTACACAAGTTCCTTGTTGGTTTGTTAATGTCCTCAAAGAGTTATGATGTTGATGCTCTTGTACCATAAAACATCAGGAGACACAATAATTAATCTTAAATGCTAAAAGGACTTGCGTTTTAATTACTCTTGTTCTCCTCCTCTCTATAGCATTGTAGCATTTGGACACGTCTTAATGGTAAATGTATTATAATATACAAATTACATGCTAATTAGATTGCACTATGCTTAGGGATTCAGTCATTCTAACATTTGCATATGAACTAATTATCTTTCATTAAAGCTGGCTAATTACAAATTTGAGGAGGACCTGGAATGGAAAAAGCAGCACTCCTTTGTCCAGACAGTGTTTTCATCTCTAATTAGACATTGGATTGTTTGTGCCTATACATTTGGAAAACCTGATGAAATCAGAAAATTAATTTATACAAATTATTTATTTATTAGAAATGCCCTTGAGTGAATCTCATGGTGCTTAGTATGTGAATGGCAACAATAAAACAGTCAGTGGAAACTGGCATTTTTCAGCAGATGATCGACTGCACCATGTCTCTGAACAGGTACGCTAAATTAATTCTTTAAGACTGAATTAAACTTGGCATTAAAATAATGCATATCTAAGAGCGGAGAAGAAGTCCAAATTAATAGATGTGCCAATCATTTGTCTCAGAGGAGATTTGCTGTCCACATAATAGATATGACTCTTACATCAATCAGGTATTAATTGCTTTCATGTCTCATATAATAAAATGACTGCTAGGGGGCATAGGCACAGTTCTAAAATGGCTTTTGAAGCCCATTTTTAAAGACTTTTGTTTAAGATCCCCACTTCAGTTTATCTGATATCTCAATACAGCCTTTCTTAAATTGTTACTTAAAGGTCTGAAACAGTAATGGGCTACTCTGGTAACATTGACAGCATCACGTCCAAAGAATATCATTGTAAATGTAAAAAATTATTACGTGCTAAAAATGTTGTCAGCTGTTTATATATATATATATATATATATACTGGGGGTTGAACCACTTCAGATTTTTTAAAGTTGACATTTATGTGATGGAAGTCAAGTCGACTAGTTGCTGATGTCATTAATGAACAAATAAGCCTGACCCTTGAGCTGAGACTGGGACACTTTGTGCACAGCGCTGCCCACATGGCTATTAATTGCTCCTATTACAGCTCATTTTTATCAGTTCTTTTGTCTTTGAGTCGTTTTATTTCTCAGATTTCTGCTCGTTTTAAATCAGATACAGATAAAGTAGCACAGTAAAGATTACATTTATATGAATGCATTAGTGAGAGAGCGATGGTAGCGTCTCTCTTCTTAGTTACTAAGAAATATATACTAGAACTTTGCAGTTTCTAAGCTATATTATTGAGAAATCACAGAACAGTGTTGACAATACATTTCCGCGCAACTGAATGATTCTGTGTGCGCGAGATCTACTGTCTAGCCTATGTGTGCGCGTTACAGTGCAGCGTGCATTAGATTAGAACGGCGATTCATTTACCTGTACAATAAGCTGTTTAAAACGTGCATTCTCCCGTTCAATTTCGAGCATCCAGGTGGTATAATCACACATGTCTTCAGGAGCGCTTTCCGGAGTATGCATTTATTAGTCATTTTAACTGTTTGGAAACGTAGCGTAAAAGTGGACTTCAAAGATTTATATTATTGCGCCCTCTATAGGACCAGCGACTAGTCGACATCAAGCTTAAAGTGTTAGTTCACCCAAAAATGAAAATTCTGTCATTAATTACTCACCCTCATGTCGTTTCAAACCCGTAAGACTTTTGTTCGTTTTCGGAACACAAATTAAGATATTTTTGATGGAATCTGAGAGCTGTCGGACTCTGCATAGACAGCAACGCAACTGAAATGTTCCCAAGTCCAGAAACAGATCTCCTTGCTACGTTTCTGGACTTGGGAACATTTCAGTTGCGTTGCGGTCTATGCAGGGTCCGATAAATATAAAATATAGCGATACAAATATCTTAATTTGTGTTCCGAAAATGAACAAAGGTCTTACGGCTTTGAAACGACATGAGGGTGAGTAATTAATGACAGAATTTTCATTTTTGGGTGAACTAACCCTTTAAAGCCTCACGGCAGAGCATTTAAGTCGACTAATCGGTGCAACCCCTAATTCTCACTGAAAAGAGACATGCTGTAATCATATAAAGCTTAATTGGAAAACCTCTCAATGTTATATGTGTGTGTATATATATATATATATATATATATATATACAGTATATACAATATAGAGAGGTTTTCCAATTAAGCTTTATACGATTACAGTATGTCTCTTTTCAGTGAGAAGTCCTGCAAGTCAGTGTTGCTCTTGCAGTTGAATATTGAAGTGATACAAACTGGAAGTGCTGTCATCAGTTTTCAAATTGTTTTATCAGGCCTTGAAACAGGTTAAACTCTTTTGTTTGCTGAAGAGACAAGTGTGATGTTTTTACATTTGCTTTAAATTCTGTTCTGCATCCATGTTTTTAAATATGTAGTTGTCAGACATTTCACACATTTACATGCACAGCATGAAAAAAAAATGAAAAAAAAAGACAATAAATGTAAAAAATAAATGACAATACACTGGAAGCCCTTTATTTGATAAACATCAAGCATTTTCTTCCAAACAATTTTCACACAATTTATACAGTATTACAAAATCAGAGGTAATATTTACAGCATTTACCTTTGCATTATTCATAGTTAAATATCTGAAAAGCATGCATAGGAGTAAATAGGTTGTTTGACATGAGTTATTTGAAGGAGTACAAGAATAAAGTAACAGAAAGTTAGGCTATAGAACCACTACGATGGTTGCACATCATCCACTCATACTACTGTTTATATACACCTTTGTTTGGAGTCTTTAAATAATAATAAAAACAACTTTGGTTTTATGGCAAATCACTACAAACTGCATATTGTTGAAACTGGCAGTGCACTGGAGGCAAAGAGCAACAATTCAGATGAAATTTGGTTAAATCCCTTTCAAACTGTCAAATCAATCACCACAAACTTGTTAAACCATTTCTGACAGATATACAGTGGGGTCCAAAAGTCTGAGACATCTGGTGATTTTTAATATTTAACACAACATGTTTTATATTAAAATTATAAACAACAATTTAAGTTTGTGTAAAACCTGATGATCATGTTTTCCAGAATGATTTAAGAAGCAAGAACATTTGATAATTTGTACATATTTACAAATTTGCTTCTTTGACCTAGTCATTTGCTTCTAGTGACCTAGAAGAACAGCAGAATCCTACATATTCCTTATTTTATTTTGTAAAAACCCTAAAGAAAGTCTTAAAACAACAAAAAAGATGTATAAAGATTTTAGGAAGGTCTTATGAGATTTTATGAAGTTTTTTTTTTTAATCACTCAGACTTTTGGACCCCCACTAAATATGGCTAATTTAAAACAAAATACTCTAAAATACATTTCCTTTCTCTAAAATAGCAATGCATATTTTATATAGTTCATGTAAGTAAACAAATACACTTCTATAAAATATAAAGCCAACACTGTCAAATGTAATCCCTCACATATTCCAAAACAAAATCCATAATTCAGAAGCACTATATACGGCTCTAGATTCTGAACTACTTCTGGATTTCAGTGGAAGTGCACAAAGACAATAACACCACCCCAAATACACGGCATAACTAAATCAGTATTTCTGTTACACCTTAAATACAACCAGAATGAGTGCAAACAGAATGAGCAAAAGAGAGAAATGGACAGCTCATGCCATGTTCCCAGTAAAGGATACTGGTGTGATAGAGGCGTGGCCACTGCTGGCCTTCAGAGACCTGCGGCTGGTGAAGCTGGGCATGTGTACAGCTCGACCTCCCCGGCACATGGCAGTGGGAGACCGGAGGGATGGAGAGGAAGGGGATGAGGAAGAGGAAGTAGAAGTCGGAGAAACAGAGGAGGAGGAGGAAGAGTAGAAGCTAGAGGAGGATGAGGATGAGGATGAGTAGGAAATGGAGCAGGACTGGCAATTTTGAGTCTGCGGAGGGAGGGTTAGGTTTTGACCTTCAGGCTGCTGAGAGGGCTTGGGAGATTTTGAGGGCGAGACAGGTCTACAGTTGGGCCAACTCAGGCTGAGACATGGGATAGAGGACTTAGAAGAAGAGGAAGAGGTTCGGTTAGTAAGCCTAGATACATTTGCACGAGGAGCACGGGTTGAGCTATGTTTCCATGAGCTATGTATAAAAGCTGGGATCTTAGAAACAGGCAAAGCAAGGAAAGCATGTTTACTATTCCCACCAGCTTTCATAGCACTCCCGTTAGCCTGCGAACAAAGATGCCGGAAGACATGGAAAGTCAAGTAGGATGATAACACATACATGAAAATATAAAGCTCTATATTCCATAAAAATATTCTACAGTACAACACCAACAAAAATATTACTCTTGTAACAAAAGGCGTAATTTAGTTTCTCTCCTTTCTCTCACAGTTTATTTCACACATTAAGCAACAAAGAGAAAAGAAGGAATCAAAGGAGGAATATGGGCACCAGACCAAAGAGGTCAGAGGTTCTTCAAAATGTCTTCATAATCCAAAGAAATGGAAATATAAACCATCACTCCCCAACCAACACAGTAGGATTACACTAAGTTCCTAGTGTTTGTTTCTGTGATGACAACGGTCACCTAGTTTTCCTGTATAGCTCAACTGGACCATTGTGCCAACAATGGCAAGGCAATGGGTTTGATTCCCAAGGAGCGCAAGGGTTGGTAAAAAAAAGTAGCATATCTTGAAAGGGTCTATTTGTAAAGATAAACATGCACAAGGAGTTGGTTGTGATGAATTGTAGGGGAAGATAGATATGTGCGTCCACAATAACACCACTCAAAAGACCACTCAAATACATTTCCCATCTGTGTCTTCATGCCTTACACTGCCCTACAGTAAAACTACCTGACGGAATTGCCTCTGGGAGTCCTGGAGCTTTTGAGGTTTTCCGGGTTTTTCCACATTCCCTGCTGACTGCTGGCGAGACTTAGGTGAGGAAATCTGACTCGAAGCAGGAGAGTCACCAGAGTTCTGAAAAGATCAACAAGGAAACAATTTCAGCGATGGATTGAGGCGATTGACAAGTACACGACAGAATGAGGACAGAGCTTTTAAAGATTTCTCATTTGTAGACATGATTGGGGACAGAAGAATGCAGGCAGCATGCTCAAGTGTACCACCAATTTCCCAACCACAGTACATGCACTTTATTAATCCCAAAATAGCGAGGCGCTCAGACAGAGAAACGGTTTGTGGATTCAACCTCATTGAAAGTCTGAACAGTGAAAGTAGACAGAGTGGTTTGAAAAAGAAGAACACCAAGTCCATAATCATGTCCACTGAAATCACACAAAGCCCTCAAAACAGAGCGTTCCCAAGTGCGTTCACCCGAAGACACCTACGAAACACATTCAAAGTTGTTTAAAGTCATTGTTTAGAAAGTCAGGCTTTCAAAGCAAACCCAAGCCACCAGCAGAAGTGTGCAGTGCAGAAGGAGTTGAGAAAGACCTGTTTACTGTTGGAGGAACTGGAAGAAGTGGCCGTGCTTGAGGAGGATCGAGACTGTGTTTTGGATCTCTTTTGCAGAGATGACTTGTGGGGTTTGGGCTTCAGAGGTGCTGGCTTTTTTGTGGGACTGCCCTCCTCCAGTTCTGCATCACTGGCAATTCTCTTTGCTTTCGATTCCTTTTTGCGGGAGACTTCTGAAACCAATGCAGGCCCAATATCACTTATGGTGCTTTCTAACTGCTTAATGGTCTGCTCGAGGCTGTCTAATGTTTGATAAGTAGTCTTACGGAGTTCCTCAGTTCTGTCTTTGGTGCTCTGTAATGTGGTGGTCTGGTTTAGCGATAAAGACCTAGGGGTGGTAGAATCAGAGTCTGCATGGGACTTGATCTCAAACCTTTTAGCTTCTTTGAGCTCAGTCACAGTTCCATCTGGTTCCTCTTCATCCTCGTAGACAACTACCTGCAGCATCTTCTTGCCAGTTTTTGTCCCCGTACGAAGGGCCTGACCAATAGCTGCAAGCTGCTTCTTTGGGAACTTAAATTTTAATTTCTTTTTCAAATCTTTAGGAGATTCTGTCTTGTCTCCTTCCTCAACGGTAAGAGCAGAACTCTCAAAGGAACTCTGCTGTTGTAGAGGCATTGCAACACTACTACTTCTCTCATTGTTTACCCTGTTCTCATTTCTGCACAGATCTCGATTATTTCTAGGTGTTATCTGACCGACCTGACTCTTTGAGTTGGCTTCCACTTCTTCCTCGTTCTCTTCATCTATCCTCTCTTCCGATAGCACCCTCTCCAGCTCTTCTTCACACTCAAAGATGGTGGACAGTCGCTTGTAGGCCTGACAGATATCCATAGGCTCGTCAAAAATGATTATAACCGGCTTCTTGTCACATCCAGAGTCCTCAGGGGCAGATACAGTCGGTTCTGAGCCCACTTTAACAGTTTGGACATCTGTGCCTTTACTGTTTACCAGTTGTTGGTACTCTCCAGTGGATAGAGCCTGTACCTTGGTTTTAGTGATCCTGAAGGCAAAGTTATTTGGTGGAGGAGGACCTTCTTCTCCTGGGAGGTCTGGACTTAGACTGGCCTCCTCAGTGTATCTGGCCTGATCTTCAGATGATCTCTTTGTTACATCCTGCTCATTGACATGGCCATTCGGTTGTGTTGAAAATGAGGCATCAGTGTTGGGCTGATGGACTGGTGAGTGAACCTGAAGTTCAGCACTTTGTGGAATCTTGCTAACAAGTGTAACTTGAACAGTGGTTGTGCGATGTCCATGCATTATTGACTTATCCAGAACAGGTGCGACTTGCTCAGAGGACATACGCAGTATCAGCTGTTCAAACTTCTCCTCAACAGGTGAAACTTTCTCAGAAGGTGTGGGAACTACCTGCTTTAGGGACTTCAGCACTGATTCAGTCTTGAGCTCTTTGGGATTAATGATCGATGGCCCCTTTTCAGCTTCAGTGCTATTCTTTAAAGAGTTAAATGGGCCAGATGGCACCTCATGAATATAATTTTGCTTGCTTTGTACCTCCTTGACTGATTGGCTTGTCTGAAGTGAAAATATAGATAAGTCATTTGACGTTAACACTTTTTGCTGGGAAAGGTCAGAAGCATTCTCAGGTGCAACCTTTGAAGGAGAGAAAGTTGCTTCATTAGGTTCCTTAAGGTCATCTGGTCTAGAGGTGCTCTCCCTTGATGTTTTTGATGTCCCAGTGATATAATACATGACCTGACAAAGAAATCAAGAATTCTTTGGACTTCAAACAACATATTAAAGTCAAAGTGAATACAATCTGTATACACACTCTTAAATCACACATAAATCTAATGGAAACAGTAACAAATTATATTTACCCCAGGTGAACCAGGTGTTGCACTATCTTCCCTACTTTCAGATAGTGCTCCTTCTTCAGATAGCTGAGAGGTGGTCTGCTAGGACAGTTTGTTAGCACAGAGTCATTGCATTACACTGTTACAGACCTTTATTTACATTCTCAAATTAATACCCAGCTAGTCAGTAAAATGCAGAGAGAAAGATTACAAAAGCGGTCAATGGCGCCATCTAGAGTTTAGTTTAGCTTTCATCCTTAGTTTACTAAGGACTGCTGTTAGTTGTCAAGCATTGCTTCAAAATAATATATTTATGGTGACTAGAAATGCAGTAGTGAATGTATGTAGTTTTATGTATACTATTTTCCATGCAAAGATGTTTGATTGTGATAGAGATTGCTGGAAAACACGTGCTTGAATTAAAAAAATATATATATTTCAATTGAGAAAGTGACTTGGATCTAGTCTTTGGATCCAGAATACAGAAATATTATTCCCGTTTTGAAAACCCAGACACAGTGATAATAAAAACTAAAGTTAAACACACAAATTTATACATTACATTTACTGCACATTAAAACATTCATAAAGATGAAACTATTATATATCCCTTATATGTTTTTAGAGCATATATATATATATATATATATTATAGCATTTTATGTGTTATTAATTTGCATTTTATGCATTTGGCAGATATATAATATTATTAATATTAACCATTTTTATTTTTTACATTTTTTAAATGTTATAAAATATATAATGTTTGGTATCTACATACATATTTTAGTTACTTTTACAAAGCAATAATATTATATCTTTATATCTCCTTATGGTGGACATTCTGGCCCTTTTTCAAAGTGAACTCTGAATGCTAAAAAAGGAAAAGGTCAGAAGTCAGAGTGCTGAATGGCCTTTCCAACGCTCCAGTCACTCTGACCCACCCTATGCTGTATCTATTAGCATTCAGCAAAAGAGTGTGAGTGACAGACCAGTGTTAGACACATTCAAACATATTACGCCCTCTCTTGATGAGGGGCTACGGTCAGGCATTGACGTGCATCAGTATGTCAGTATATCAGTATGGGAATTGCGAATAAGTGTCAAGTAGAGCAGGAGGTTATGACACATGACTGCTCATATGAGTTTAGTTGTTAAACTGCGATGGGGAGTTAGCACACATCACGTCCGTTACCTTTGTGTGGTAAGATAGGGAAAGCCCTGGCTCCGTCTCACTGTCTGAGGGCTCACGGGTTGTGAGATCAACAATGTATCTGGGCTGTAAATCTTTAATAGTGCACTTTTGAAACACCTGAGGAGGGGTAAGGGTATGGGCAGTTAGGTGCTGTGGCTGTGTATGGGTGAGCTTTCTGTCCTGTTTTTGTGCAAATGAGATGCCAACAGAACTGAACACCTTGATCCAGACAAGGTGCAAGAAATGTTCCCTAAATATATTATTGTTATAATGTTTACAGTAGGGCTGGGTTTTGACACAAATTTCACGATTCGATTCTCATTCACAAGCTTGCGATTCGATTCGATTACCAATTCAATTCGATTCGAATCAATATTGATTATTTTGGATATATATCAGGTACAGTACATGCCAAATTTTCTCAAGAAAAAAAAAATCTCAACTAAAGCTGTAAAATATACATGAGAGTCAGTTGGTACAACATTACTATAATATTGAACGTTAAAATTAATGACGTTTTTACAATAATAATGTTACAGTTACATATTAATATTTCTACTACAATTAATTTTTTTTTTAAATGGTGGCTGTAATAAAAACTTGATAGATTTATTCAAACATAAATTAAATATTGAAGAACAGTAAAAATTATAATGAATATGTTATATATTGCATATATTAAGCAAAATACCCCTCTCTACAGTTTATTTTTCTAGCTAATGAGTTTATGGTCACCGAATATGTTTTTCTGAAGTAAATGTGAGTTACGTGACATTTACAAGTCATTATATTGGCGTCTTTGTGCGACTGAAACACAGATTGAGCGATTACATGACACAGGATACGGATTGTAAAGTTGTACTCCTTCTTTTACTTACCTTCGGATTTTTAGTCATGTTTATTTTGTGCTGAAACGGGTATTAATGTGGAGGAGATTATTAGCGCTGCCGCTTTTATTGAACTGAGGCGTGCCGCGCTCCAGCGATCCGTCACTCCACATTAAACAGTGCCAAAACGGCATTTGTTGTTTAAATACTCCAATACAACGGACAGAATTTGAAATCTGAGACTTTGTTTCATTTGAAAAGTACCCAAGCACAATGCTTATTGCGATTTATTAGATGGGAAGTACCCTTCAATGTTCTGTCCATTACCTGTGAAAACAGGCCAGACTAATCGATTCTTGGGATTTAAAGGGGTCATATGATGCTTTTTTAAAGATCATTATTTGGTGTATTTGGTGTAATGTTCAAAAAACACATCATTTTTCAAATACTGTACATTATTGTAGGTCCTCTATGCAAAAGTCTACAAAGTCCCTCCTTCCGACAAGCGCAGTCTGCTCTGATTGGCCACCAACCAGTAAACACTTCTTAAAAGAACCATTTTTTTGTTAGTGTAAAGAACATTTTTATAATCTTAAGAACCTTTTCCTCTATATAGAACCTTTTATGCAATGGAACGTTTTCATGGATGTTACAGGTTCTGCATTGAACCATCAATGCCAATATTTTTAAGAGAAACTGTAGTGTATAATAATTGCGTAATGATTATATAAGTCCACAGGAGGATAAATACAAATGCATTCACCTTTGAGTGTGGCCAAAGCTTCTCCTACTTTCCGTAAGTTGACCGCCCCTTCCTCCACATCCTTCAGAGTGACTGGTTGATTGCTCATGGCAGAGGTGGATTCTTTCTTGAGCATCTCCACATAGTTCTCCAGCTCTCTGTCACATTGTTATAAGGATGTTTCATTTATCAGCACCACTGTCACTAAAACACTATTTAACAAGTATTTTTATTTGCTTTTTTGCTCAAGCTGCATGTACTCTACAATTTAATGTAAAACCTGAACTGAAAATTCATTTCCTGGTTTAAGTAGAAAAAAATCCCATATTTCCAATGAAGTCTCAGACATTTGGACGCCACTGTTTATATACTGTATATTTCAATTGCATTTAATCCAGCATTTAGTGACACTTAATACTGTGTAATAAGCAAGTCTTGACTGTTAGTCTTTGACTGCTAAAGGCTGAAACCTGTTTAACGTGATTTAGTCTTGTTTGTTGACTGACAGTTCACATTTAGAGAAGTTTGGCTGTGTAAGCAAATTTGGCAACAAAAGTCTGCCCTCAGCCAAATACTTTCAGAGGATCATCATAACCTAAGCCTTTCTCAGACTTTCTGACTTCATCCCTCTTGAAACGGTTATGAA